CCCCAACCCCAACCCCTATTAAAAAAGAAATTTATTATTTTTCAAGCTTTTACTTTTTGAGTTTGAAATATTTTGATTATTTTATATAGAGGAATGTTTTAAGTCAATTAACAATTTGGTTTATTAAAAAAAATTTTATATATCAAAATTGTAATTTTACTGCTTGACCATTAGTTTTAATGTGATTTTGAATAGTAAAACTAATGATTTATTTTTAAAAAGAAAATCAGTAAAAAATAAACAATTTCTTTTTTATTAAATTAGCGAAATTAGTAATTGAAAAGACTATAGATTTTTATAATTGGTTATGAGAAATCAACAATAGTTTTATTAGAATGGCCAACCCTATTCAAATGCTTAGTCATTAGTTATTTCTACTAATAATTTAAATTTAGCGAGTTAGCAAAAAATTCAAAGCTCTAAAAATCTGGTTGAATCTTGCAAGGAATTCAAGTTTTTTTAGAAAGAAATATCACCTCCTATATCGATTAAAGGTACCAAATTTGTAAATCCATTTGGTTCTTAATCGAGTATATTCCAAAATTAGAGTGAAACCAAGTACAAATAAATGAAAAAAATTGAAAGCTAGCTGAAGTAATACTAAAAAATGAAAAAGGAAGTCATTACATAGACTTTAACAATGTAAAATGAACCTTTTCGTGAAAAGTTTAATAGAACTGTTAAGCAAGAGCCATCTGAATGGGAAGAATTAAAAAAGCAAAGGATATTATAAGGAAAGCGTGAGTTAAATTAAAAATTTAAGGTGTAGAAATAAGCAATTACTGAATATTTAGAGGGTAAGAAGGTTGATAATAAAATAATAAAGCATCACAAAGAAGTTGTTTAGCCTAATCCAGTTTAAAGAGCTCATAAATTATCTGTTTAACCTTAGCAAGATATTTTTCAATTTACTTAACACCAACAGTAGACTTAAACATCTCCAGCATAAGCTAATTCTGCTATTCCTCACTAACCCTAGAGGTTCCTTCTGTAATCTCAAAAGTAGCTGATGCAACAATAAGAACATGAGTAATATCTAAAGCAATTTACTGCTGCTCATAATGCTAAAAAGAGACCCAAAAGTGCTCTGATATAGATGCTTGATGGGGCTAATTAAAAGACAGAGAAAAAAAGAAAAGAAATTGATCCAATAAAATTAAAAATGAAGGATTTTCTTGAAAAATTCTTAAAGGGTGAATAGCAATATTTCAAAATATTAGAAGATACTTCGAAAAAAGGATAATAAATATTTTAAAATGGCATTGAAGTATCCTAAAAATTTTTTTATGATTAGATTGAACCTTCAGAATATTAATTTAATCAAACAAATGATTTAAAGACCAACAAAAGATATCGTATACTACGTTCTGAGTAATTCAAACTCAATCTACCTTAATAAAATAATTTAGTTCCAGGAGAAGATACCTTAACTAAAAAGAAGTTAGGTAATTACAAAATTTTATTGATTCTTTTTATAATAATTTTATTTATAAAAACAGGCAAAAATCCACTTTTAAAACACTCGTTCACCAAAGTTATTGATGAATAATTATCTAAAGATGAGAAATTTTAGGCTATGGAAAATTATGAGAATTACGATTCTGAAAATTATTATACAGAGTAAATTAAAAAGCAAAGATATGGTTTAGAATATTTACATCAGTAAATGCAAAAAACAAAAGAAGGTTTTGATAAAAATAAAAATATTCCTGAATAGTATTCCGAGTTCTTAAAGCTCGTAAAATAAAACAATAAAAATATGGTATAAATTATTTTGGATACTAATCCTAAGCTTATAAACGAAGCAGTAGATCACTTAGGTCAAACTGCTTTGCATTGGGCAGCAAAAAGAGGTTATAAAAAAATGTCATAAATTTTAATAAATAAAGGAGCTAATATAAATGCTCTTGATCTAAATAAAAAGACACCATTAGACCTTGCTATTTCTTAGGATCAAACCAAAACTATCAGTCTAATTAAAAAGGAAGAGGCCGTTTAAAAAATGGAGAAAAAAATTAATACCCATGATGATTAAAATATCACAATAATAAGCCAACAAGATGATCAATTAAATTTAACTGGATTAATATCACCTGGTTCAAATAAATTATAAATAACAAAATAAGCTCAATTTTGATCATTCATTCTATTTTTTTATACAACATTAATTATTTTATTTTAACTAATTGTTTTTATTTTTAAAACATCTTAAATCTTTTAAACAAATGTAAATTTATAAAAAGTGTGCATATTGATTGTATTTATTTAGATTTTAATTGCTAAAGATTTTCTAATTATTAGAAAAAAGCAAATTTCGATGATTTATTTATATTTTGTATTTTTCATAACTCTTTCACAAAATTTATTTGAATTTATATTGGGAAATTTTGAAAGATTTATTTATAGTTATTTAATTAAAATTAGAAAAAGAAAAAAACAAAGTCGCAAAAAGAAGCAAGAAACGCTAAAGAAGTGTATAAATGGAACATAAGTTTTTAAAATTAAAAGTCTCTCATTGATGGAATGTTGAGCAAAAGTTTTTAAATCACCCCTCACATTAAATGCTGAAATAGATTAAGCTTAAGTCTTACAATCCAGAGCGAAAATTGAAACCATTTCCTCTAATCGAGGTTACTTAAATAAATCTGGAGTTCGTAAAGATTAAGCTTACCCCAAACCGTTCCAAATCTAAAATATACACTTCAAGTTATGCCGCTTTTAAGTTCCACTTTTGGAGGCGCACAACGTAAAGTTGTCTGTTTCTATCTATGGAATGACTTTAGTTTTAAAAAAACAAATTCTCTCTTCAATAAATATTATTTAAATAAAAAATTAGATAAATTTACAGATCAGAAGAAGAAAAAAAAATTTTAATTTTGAAAAATATTCGATTGATAAAAATTTTGATTAAAAACAATTAAATAAATAAATTAATTTGAAAAATAAAAAAATAAAAATAAAAAATTAAATAAATAAAAATTAAACAAATAAATAAAAACAAAACAAAACAAAATAAAATAAAATAAAATAAAAAAAGAAATTAAAATAAATAATAATTAAAAATAAAAAATGATAATGCAAAAATTAATACATGATTGATGACAAGTCTATTTATTTTCAAATTTTTTTTTGAAATTTTATTTGCTATTTTTTTAAAACATTCAATTTTAAATAAATTTTATTAAATATATCTTTAATCATTAAATCATATTTTATATCTATTTATTGATCTGCTTTTTGATATTTCATTTTCATTAAGAAATTAAAATTAATATCAACCATTTTTTAAAATTTTTTTGGTAAATTAAATTAATTGATCCAACTTTTTTTGACCACTCAATTAAATAAAGAAATATTTTAACAAAATTTAGTAAACCTTTATATTTTTTTATTTTCAGTTTATTATCCATAATAATTTTGTAATTACTGAAAATATATTAAAATATTTTTTTTTCTTATCAATAATTTACAAAACAATATTTTTAACTATTTTATTTTTCTAATTATTTTATTTATTGAGAATGCTATATTATTGTTAATCTATTTATATTAACTTGTTAAATATTGAAAATATAAAATGTATAGAGAGTCATTTTCATAAATATGTCAAAATTAAAAATTACAATGCACTTCTATAACATAATACAGAATAACCTACAAATAATTAATTTAATTTTGAATTATCTTTATATATTTCAAGAACTATGCTTTTCTACATAATTCTTAATGTATTTAAGGGCAACAGCAGAACAATGAATATAATCGCTTTCTTCATTAAAAATATATCCAGAAATTCTGACATAAATTTTTCCGTCGAATAAGAAGTGTGTTAACCAGAAATTTTCTTTGAAAAGAAGATCTTTGGCGATTTCGCTCATATCAGCCATAGTGGTGATAAATGGTACTTCAATATTAACTAAATTAACATACATATCTTTGTTTGAGTGTAAAACTTAAGTTCCCCAAGTTTCAGCAAATATTTATCCTGCTCTATAGGCCATATTTCTGCTGTAAGATTAAATTCTTTCTTCGCCTAACATTTTTCTGAAATCTAAGGCTTCTTAAACAGTGAAAAATGGGGAAGGATCATTAGTTCCCTTTCCATTAAATTCATCTACGTAACCCTATTTTTAAATTTAAAAATAAAATGTAAATAAGTTAAACAAATTAAAAAACATTTTGTTAGACATTTCATATTTCATAGAGTTTTTTTTTTTCTATTTAATTTTAGAAACACACACACATATTTAGTTATCAAATAATAAAAATACTAAAGTAACAGACTAAAGATTAGTGGTATTTTTAAGTATTAAAAAATTAATTACCTTTCCATAATAATTGCCAATAATAGAAGGGTGAATATCTTCGTGTTGAAGAGATTCTTTTATGAAAATAAAGGCAAAAGGTCTGGCTGTGAAAGACCATTTGTGCATATTTGAAATGTAGTAATCGACATCATACTTGTGTAAGTTGATATTAATATGACCAGGGGTTTAAGCTCCATCGCATATAGAAAGACAATTATACTTTTTGCATAAAGCGACGATATCCTCAATAGGGAATATCATTGAAGGTACTGATGAGATGTGATCAAAAGCTACAGCCTTTAGATTTTTATCTTTGTTTGCTATCATAACATCTTCAAAAGCCTTCAAAATCTTAGCATTATCATTAACAATTTCTTTAGTAAGAACTACTTCAACAGCATTCAATTTTTACAATTTAGCCAAGTGCTTAATCTAATTCTTCATGGCTGGGTAAGCTATGTTAGTGTAAACGATAGTATCACCTTCTTTCCATTAAATAGCAGCTAATACATCCTAGAAGGCTTAAGTAGCATTCATTACAAATGTAATTTCATTAATCTTACTTCCTACGAAATCAGCAACTAGTTATCTGTTTCTCTTCATTTCATCAAATAAATGGAATCTGTACCTACAAACATATATATACATAAATTAGTTGAAAAGATATTTTGATAATTGACTGAATATAAAGTTTAATAAAATTCTTACCATTTTTCAGGGTTTTTATTGATTTCGTTGAGGTAATGAATCCTTTTTTGTCCAATGTGGATAGGTTCCATTCCGACACTTGCATGATTTAAATTGATATAGGTTTCATCATAGGGGAATAATGCTAATAACTACTTTCCGAATTCCATTGTAAATTAGAGGTTTAATTAAGAGGAGATAATATCTTAGTTTTTATGATTAATATTTAATTTGATGTTTTATGTTTGTAACAATTATTAAAAATTGATTAGATTTTATGCATTTATATTATGAGCTGACTTAATAAATGAATTTCTAAATATCCAAAAAGATACTCAGATAGTTCGTCATTTTTGATTTTTAATTTTCAATTGATTCAAATATTGATAAAGCATTACAATCAGTCAATTGTAAAAATTAAATGGTCAGAATACAAAAGATGGAATAACCAAAGAAGATTCAATAAATTTAGTTACTTAATTTATTATCAATAGATTATATTTACTTTTATAGTAAAGCTATTTTATGGGTGTTTATTTGTTTATTCAGACTTTACATTTGCTAATTTACATACTCATAATAAGTAATTAATTGGTACTATAATAAAAATCAAAGGATTTTTTGTATTAGTTTTACAATATAAAAATTAAATTATTCAAATTTACTCATTAAAGTTATGAAGTTAAATAGTGTAATAATCAAAAAACTTTACATTCTGAAAATTTGTATTTTTGAATAATTAAAAAATGATAGCTAAACAAGTGTTGCTTATGAATATTCGAGGATAAATTAATTACAAAAACTTTTATATCCTGTAGGCTATTATATTTAAAAAAAATGATAATTAAGCCTGGCATTGCTTGAAAATATTAGTACGGATTATTTAATTTTTATTGAATTTAAAAAGTCTTTTATCAGAATGGTTCATTTTCTCAAAAGTACAATCTTTTATAATTAAATATTGACAAATGTCTTTAAATTCTTTGAACAAACAATTAAAATATGAATTATGTATATGTATTTTTATATTTGCTACTTTAAACTAATATTTGCTTTTTATATTTTATTTGAAGAAAGTAAGTAAATTGTAAAAATAAAATCTTATTAACAACAATCTTTTATAAATTAAATTTCTTACTAAATCACTATTTCTTTATTTTTCAATATTAGAAATAAATGAATTTTGTCTTATTCAGATTAATCAAATAGGTTAAAATTAAAATTATTTTTTTTAAATAAAGAAAATTCGTTAATTTTACAAAAACAATAAAATAATCACAAGTTTGATACTTGATTTAAGGTAAAAACTTAATTTATCGATTGATAAAGCAAGAAATTTTGACAATAGACAAAAATAATAATTCAATTATGATTTATTAAGAATGAATTATTATGAAAAACGTAATCATAATAAGAGAATATATTTATAGTTAGTAATCATTAAAAATGTATAAACAATAAAAGTAATACTTTATATTGAATGTATTTTATTGTTTTTAATATTGTTTTGTTTAAATTTAGAATACTATTTTTCATATACCAATTAAATTCAATGAATAATTAATTTGCCTCAAAAAAAACTTTAATTGTTAAATAAAATAAGAAATTATTATAAAAAAATTAAATTATATTTTATTTATTTCAAAATATTTTTTAGAATATTTATTTTCCTATTTTATTAAATAATCTGGCTTAAAATGACTATATAAAATTCATAAATTTAACTTTTTTTGATACTTAGCCTTTTACTTATTGAAATACATAACTTTAATCACCATGAATTTCTTTTATTGAAAAAGGAAAAACAAAAACAAATTATATTCTCTAAAATTAAATTTTTTTTTTTTTTATATTAAAGCAACCACTAATAAAAATTAATTTGTTTACTTTAGCAAACAAAACTATACAATATATATATGATTTCAATTGAAGAAGTTTTTGATATAGTTATAAGCTTTCGAAAAGTAACCATTATTAACTTGGAAAACAGATGCTTGAGTTACATCAGAGGTTGTATAAGTTGATACATTGAAGCCAGGATCATTTACTTAGAAAACATCTCCATCATAACTGGTAGCTAGTACCCAATGTTAACCATCTCTAACATTTAAAATGACAACTTTTCCTTAATCAAGGGCCTCCTTAGCACTTACTGCTGGGACTTTTCCTTAGAAATCGAATCCAAGTTTAGAAACAGATCCCCAAACAAATAATTAAGCTGAAAATCCTCCATTTTGTTACAACCATGAATTTAAAGTACCAGGATTTGAGTCTTATCCATTAAGTTATATTCCGTAAGAGTATAAAGCCATTGAAACACTTGAAACAAGGCAGCCAATTTTACAAATTGTCTTAGGACCTGGACCGAGTTCTTCACTTCCCCACTAGGAATCACACTATTTAAAAAGAGGATAGTCTCTTGCGCTAGCAACACCCAGAGCAATAATAAAAAGACAAAAGATCTTCATATTTATTATTTTTTTTGTAATTAATTTTTTAAATTGCTAATTAATTATTTTGATAAGAAACAGCTTTTTCTTATATTTAATATCTATTAGAATATAATCTGATGTTAATACTTCTAATATTCTGTCAAAAAAAGTACAAATTTAGTAATAAAAAAATAAACTTTTGTATGGTAATTATTTATAAGTTTTTTTTAGACATTTCTTATTATAATTATTTAAATTGCAAATCAGAGTCAACAAAAATAATTAATTACTTACTTACTAAAAATAATTTTTAGTTCTAAATAGCAAATCTTTATGAAAAAGCTAATAATGATTATTAAAACTTTTAAATTTAAATATTTTTTGTAAAATTAACTAATTTTTAAATTATATTTGCAAATAAATTAAAAGAAGAATAAAATTCATTTTTTAAATAAAGAAATTTTACATAAATATTTTTTTTCACATTAATATAAATTAAATTATAAAATATAATGTGATTTATTATATTTTATTTAATTTTTTTGTTGCCAAAATGTAAATTTTGAGATGTCCCAAATTATTTTAAAAAATTACTTTAATGATTTTTTATTCAGTTTAAAATAGTAAGTAAATAGAGTAAATAAAATAATTTGATAAAGAAATTTTAGCTTTAATTCATTAATTAGATTTTAACTTCTGGAATAAGCTTAAAAAGCTAAATAAATTGAATTAATAATGTTAAGTCTTTAGGTGATTATTCAATTATATATACTACTATTAATGTTGAATTTACTAAATTTCTTATAAATTATCTTCAAAAAATTTAATTGATTAACACCAAAAATAAATCCATCCTTCATTATTCTCTCAATCTAAATTTAATATAAATTAATTTAATTGAAAACTACATATCTATCACTTAGAAAATTTAAACACATAATATAATAAATAAAATGAAAAAAGTGTAAATACAATTCCATAATTAATTTGCTACCACTTAACCATAAGAAATTACATGCTCTAATAAAATACTTAATATATATGATATGATAATTATATGATAGTAATATTTCTTAACAATAATGCACTTAAATCTAATTCTAATTACTTAATTGCAGAAATCTAATTTAATATTAGCAAATAAATTACTTCAAAAGATTGTTAACGAATTAATCCCACTGTTTTTAAATTAACTATCTATATTTTTTTGGAAAGTTTATTTATAAATTTACTTTTTTTATGCTGATTTAATCATAGCTATTATTTAATACAATTTTTTAAATTTAGATACTTACAAAAATTTTTGTATCTTATTTTTTTTAAATTCAAGTTCACCAAAAAATAAGTATTTTTATGGTAAGAATTATATGGTATTTCATTCATGAAGATTTATAGTACAAAAAGTACTATTTTAAAATTGATCAAGAATTTTTCTGAGCATCTATCTGCTTAGATATTATGATCTAGTAAAAAGAATAGATAAAATACGTCTACAACAATTATTAAACCAACATTCACTTACTTAATCTTATTTTTTTCTACTATTTATAAATCAGAAAAAAAGTTTTTTTAAATTTAATAATTAATAGTAAAAATACAAAAGCAATAATTGAATAAAATATCTAAAAAAATGGAAAAGCTAACAAACTCTATTACATTTGAAGAACTAAAAAAATAATCTTTTACTTTGGAGATTTAAAATACTCCATTAAAGAAGCCTGAAATGGTTAAAAAATATCTAATAAACCACTATTAAGATAGAGAAGAATAAAATATCTATTATGAATTTAATAATATGACTCACCCTGACAATAAAAGATTCATTTCTACTACGGGAAATGGGTTATTTGATTGCATATAAGCTGCCTATGCACTTCATATGGATTTATGCCTTTCTGCTGATGATCTTTGGATTTCTGTTTGCAACAACTTAAGCAATCATATAAATAATAATTCAGAAAAATATCGTCATTTCTTTGTTAATCATGAAGGAAAAAAAGAATTAAGAGTAACTTTACCAGTAGAGCATTTTACTAATTTTCCAAATAAGAAAAATAGATGGGATTTAGTAACTGATTTACTATCAGAAGAAATTAAGAAAAATACAGAAGGAAATATAGCTTAACTAATGACAAATGATTTCTCTACATCAGGATTAATAGACAAAGTAGGTTCTTAAATATGTTTGATGGCAACTATGAAATCGTATTTCTAATACACAGGTATAATTCCTATGTGTGGAATATAAAATATACATTTTAAGGGTGGTGAAGCTGATTTTACTAAATTAGTTTAAAAAGTTAAATCCCTCAGATAAAACTATTCCTTAGACGAATAATTATCTACATATTTAACTAATATTGAAGAGATCTTTAATAAAATTCTTGAATAAATTTGCAATAAGAAGGCTGATGTCGATTTTTGGAATAAAATCTTAGATGAAGAAGAAACTTTTATAAGAATAGGATCAGGATGCAGTAGAAAAGTAAAATACACAGGTTGGATTGTTAAACTTTTTGGTCTCTATAATGATAATAAAGATTTTATTGACAGAGATTCTCTGCCAAGCTTTTAATCTGAGGCTCCCGTTCTAATCATAGATATGAATTAAGGGGGAAAGAAATTCAATTTTGCATTTAAATAGTCTTTTTATGGTTTTGAAGAAATAGCTCCAAATACTTTAAAACCTATTTCTAACATTTGTATTGAACTTAAAAATGAGTGAGCTCTTACAATAAAACAAAATTCTTAAAAAAATTAAATTTATTCTAAATAAATGAAAATAAAATAAATAATATTTTCTAATATTTTTTATGTTTTGATTACTTCTAAGTTTATAAATTTTTCAATCAAATTATGATGGAATTATTTTTAAAATGAAATTTACTCTTAAATTAACAATTTTTTATATTTATCATTTTTAAGTTTTAAATTCAATAATATATTGATTGATATTAAAAAAAATATTTAATTTTAAAAATTGAATGCATCATCATATTCTAATAACAAATTACAAAATTAATTCTTAGTTTCTTTGAAAATTTATTAATTTTTTGTTATTTTATCTTTTTAAAAAGTTTGTTTAAAATATCAATCAAATCTTTTTATATTCTAATAATAGTAATCAATGTATGTCAAGTCGTATTTAATATTAAAAAATTAATGTAGAAAATGGTAATTAAATATGTTTAGTTGTAAATTATTTAATAAAATATTTTCTAAAATTAAGATCATTTTAAATTTTTTTTCTTTATTAAAATTTTATAAAATGATCCACTTTAATTAAGAGAGGATTTCTGCTATTAATTAAAGTTTTTCATTGATAAAGTTTAAACTGTAAAGTATTGGCTTCTCAGTAAGAAATAATTTTACAAAAAATATTTGCTATTTAAAAAAATATTTTGCTTTAGTTCTTCGAAAATCAATATAAATTCAAAGTACTTTGAAATTTATTAATGAAAAGCTAACTCATATTTTGAAATCACCTTTTTCTTGGAAGAAATAAAAAAAAATGTGTCATACCCCAAACTTAAATGTTAAAAATAATAATTTAAATAAGTAAGAATTTTTCTGCTCATAAATATTTTTATAATTTCAATTACATAATTAGAATAATTTTTTTTAACATTAGTTTTAAATTAATTTCTGATATATTTTATGTATTAATTTTTTTTTTTTAACATACTGGTTCAATTCCATCTTTTGGTATTTTTATAATAATTAAATTAAAGTAAGTATTTAATTTTATTTTCATATAAATGATATAAATGGAATATTTGGTTTTTAATGAATTCAACCATATTTCAAAAAGAGTAATTTTAAGAAAAAAAGTAAATATTTTATGAAAATATTTATAAAAATTTAATGAATTTTATTACATAAAATAATTAATTATCTTGATAAATCTTATTTTAGAATCCTAAAATTTTATTTGACTTTATTTTTTTGTTAATTTTTAACAAGTTTGTTTTAAAAGCAGAAAAAAAGAAGCTATCATATAAGTTTTAGTTAAATCTATTTATTTATATATATATATATATTTAAATAAAGTTACAAAATAAAAATAACAAAGATATTTATTTAATTATTTATCTTTGCAAAATTAAAAAATTCTAATTAAATTAATCTGTAGATTTGAATATCAAGCAAAAAATTTTATTCAAAGTCATTTCTTACAAATTTTCTTGAGCTATCATTTTAAAAAATCAAAATCAAATTTGCTTAGCAAAAATATTACTTCGATTTCTTGTATCTAATGATACAAATTTTTCATGTTTTACATTATAAATATTTTAAATAAATATCTATTAAAATCGTTTGCTTAGTAATAGTATCCTACTTAATATATTTCTATTTGATTTAAGTTTTATTATAAAGTTTTTGTATTATTATTCTGTTGTTTATATATCAAAAGCTATCTGTAAAACATCAGATTTGATTTTACAATATCTAATAGATGGATTAAAAATATCAAAAGATATCAAAAAAATTATTTCAATTAGACTAATTTTCAGTAAATATGATCATTCATTTAATAAGTCAAACAAGATAGATGATGGATTTATTACCATAAAAGGCTAAATATATTTATTGAAGCATATTATTGATAATATTGGTTACTTATACTAATTCAGATTAGGATTATTTTTTATACATCTGAAAAGGATAATTGTTGCCTCTGAAAATAAAAATCCATAGTTAAATCTGCTTAAAAATATGCTAGTTCCATAGGTAGGCACAATTTAATATTAAATATAGGTCCAATTTGAAATATGAATGAATTCTTCTTCCATTAGTAACTGTTTTAATTTACAAGGACATTATTCAGCAGACCAGTTTGAAAAAACAACTTAAATATTCTTTTTGAGAATTTGTGATATTGCTTTCTAAAAATAGTAAAATTAGCATTCTTTTTCTTCGTTTTCAAAGGTTTCGTGTATGTTTTAGTAATCGTTATGAATATAGTAAGTTTTGATAAATCTATGATCTTTATTCATAAATTTAATGCACTATTTTAGTTAATTTTCTTTTGATATCCAAAAAAGCTTCTTTTAAAAGGTTATCTTACAAAAGATTTTCCATTAAAATATTAACATTGAGGTAATAAATGTCATTGCAAATATCTAATTGACAAGGAAAATAGGATTTTAATCAACAACTATTTTATTACTAAAAAAGTAACCAGTTAAAAGACCTAGCTGAGCTAAAAAATTTAGATAACTAATTGATAAACTTGCAGCTTTAATAATATAGTTGTAATCATATTCATAAATTTCAGCTAAAAAAAAATAATAATTGTTCATGCAATAATGTATTGCAAAAATCAAAAAAATTTAATACTTCCTATTATTAATATTTTTATAGAAAATATATAATAAGTTAGGTAGAAGTAAAGCAATATAATAATATCCTAAATTAATTCCAAATGAGCCATTAAGGAGTATAGCCTAAGAAATACTAAAATAATGAGCACCTTATTGCATAATTGATAAAATAATTGATTTTATTTGGAAATTTTCTTAAAAAAAAGCATTTAAGACTCCTGAGAAAATCACAAGCATCACAAAATTAGAGTAGGCGAGGTTTATTAAATATAAAGATATTGTAGACCTTTCTCCTAAAATATCTAACCCAAAGAAAAATACTAAATCAAGGAGAAGTAAGGGGTAAACTCTGCCAAAAAGTTTTGTAGCAACAATACCATTAAAAGAAAATTTCAGCTCTGAAAAAAAATAGTAAATAAATCCAACTTGTAAGATATCCATAACAAAAAATATCAAATTAGAAATACTGAATCCAAATTTTTGGAGCATTAGCCAAATAGTAATAATTTTATCTAGAGTAAAAAGCACTATATAACATATGAAAAATGCTATATATCCTTATTTAAAAAGCTCTACTACCAAGAATATGTGACAGATATTTATTCCGTAAAATATAAAAGAAATAAAAAGTAAAATAGCTTTTTCCTTTTTCATAGTATTTTTAATTTTTTCAGATTCTTTATTTTACTCTTATTATTACACTTGTAATATCAGTTTTTAATGAGTGAAATAATATAAATCAGTTTAAAATAATACATATAAATAAAATAGATAACATTAACGCAAGCCTCTACAACTATTTTTTTCTTTTGCAAAGTAATCAGAATTTAAAGTTTATCACTAAGAGGATCTACTTATTATTTAAGGAAGTCAAAGCCTCACTAAAAATATAAAGGCATAAAAAGATATTTCGTCTTTTTAAATAGACACTAATAATTAAAAATTCAACCTTTTCAATAAAAATACCACTTATTGTATTTCATAAATTGTATTATTGCAATATGGTGTAACACTAAACTGATTAATTTATAATGCTAACAAAATGAGAAATATTGAAAATTAGCATTTAAATTATAAAAAAAGAAAATTGTAAGAGAAGTATGAATTTGTTTGATTATAAATTGGAATGCTAAATTTATCATTCAAAAATTACAATACAAAAAACAAAATAATTTTTTAAAAAATCATCAAAAAAGAATGAAAAATATTTATCATAAAAATTAATAGTGATCAATATAAAAAACAGAAATCTTGATAAAATGGCTGACTATCTTTTATTATAAATTGAATTTATTATGAAATTTATTCTAAGATAATATACTTTTCTTTCTTATTTTTAAAACAAAGAAAGAGGAAATTTTTATTCTACTAATTAAAATGTTTTATTTTTTGCAAATATAAGTTTACAAAATAAAATTTTATGTATTTAATCATAAAGCAGTATTTCATATTTAACTAGAAACGCCTTTTAGAGATAAGATTAAAAATATAGTCTTTTCTTAAAATACTGATTACCATCAATTAGATAGATTTCAAAGTTAAGGAGAATCAAAAAAATTTTAATTATTAAAAAGATCACCTTAGAGATTAGTGAACAATAAGAAATTTAATTTTTCTATCATTTTATCTTACCTTAGAGAGCAGAGGCTGAAAACCCTTTTTTTAAAAATTAAATTTTTTTCATTTTGATTTTAAACAAATGAAGAATATTTTAAAAGTATAATTTTAAATATATACTTTATATTCTTTAAAATGCAAAATATTCTCAAAATAACTAGCTGTTCATTTATGATAAATATTGCAGTTCAATAATGTATAGGATGGATTTCAAAATTAATAAACAAAATCCTAAATTATTTATTAATATTTATTTGAGTAAAAATATTAATTTGTCAAAATAATTAATTAATCTAAATTATTATTTAGTAAATTGTGTTAATATATTCTTAAATATATCTTTAATTTGTATGGATAATATTAATAGTATTTTTGATGTTAATTAACATTTGGAGTTATTTAAGCTTTAAAGTATAATAAAATTTTTTTTTTGATTCAAGTAATTGCACAAATTTGAAAAGTATATCAAATTTTTTTGTTGTGTTTTAGAAATATCAAAAAAATGGAAATATTGTAGAAATAGATTTTTATACAAAAATTAATACAAAAATTATTATATTTTTATTATTTTTTAGTAAATTTATAAATAGTTTATTTTGAATAAATATTTCGCTTGCTTCAATAGAATAAATCGATTATTATCAGCTAGGGGTTTATAACCATAAAATTTTGAATTTATTTAGAGTATAATATTAAACTTAGCGAAAGAGTCTTTAAATTTGATAAATATTCATATTCCACCTTGCACTTCTTTGGGTACACATTTTAAATTAGCTATGTGGTTGCAGGAGTAAAAAGATAACCTTTTTAAATTCTTTCATTTATTATTTGTGGTAGTTATGCTTAATATCTATCTATTGCTAATTTGATCATACATTTTAAAATATAGGGTTATTCTATTAATAAGCTCATCATTTTTTAACAGTCACAGAATGTATTTTCGAATCTATCTTCATAGGATATTATAACTTTTCTTTTAAGGAATTCTGTTAATTCATTCGAAAATTGATAATACAAGCATTCATGCTCATCTTTCTAATTTTCAATGTTTTCTTAGCTTAACTTAGTTGACTCTATATTCAATATTGATTTTACATCTTTTGGTATGTTTTAATTATTTTAAATAGTGTTTGGTTTGGGATTCTTGCACTTGATCCATCTCTTTTAGCAAATATAAATAGCTAAATATTTTAATTTATTATTATTTGGATTTTAATTGTTCCTAATAAAATCCTTCAATGAGCTTTCTGTATTTATTTTCACCCACTTCCAATCAAAAACAACTGAAATCAGCTTTGGGAAAAAAGAGATGAGAAAAACTGTACTTAAAATTAAGCACAAGATTAAATTGACTATAAATAAATTGCTTGACTAAAAATAATCTTATGATATTTGATAATAGCTAAATCCTATGACCATGCCAAATCTAGCAAATTAATTAAAATAGCATAAAAAGACAGGATTCTATATCTCAGACTACTTTTACATCTCCATTTACTATATATCGCTATCCAATAAAAATTAATAATTCATTAAGACTCCCATAACTAAATAAAAAATGTTCAATTCTTTATAAGAATAATCTCTCTCTAGCTTAACTAAGTTGTATATGACATTTAGCAATATGACAATCAAGTAATAAATACCACAATTAACTCCATTTTATCTATCAGTTACAAGCAATATTTAGCCTAAACTTAGATAATATGACATATGGTTCAAAATGGAAAGTAGAATTTCTATTTTAGACAATTATTTACAAGCCTTACTTGCTATTCTACACAATGCACCTGCATATAAAGACCATAAAGCAAAGTTTATGTATATCAATACAGCTAGTTCATTATTTATTTTTTTATTATTGAAAATATCAAATCCAAAGAAGAATACTAGTTGCAAAATTAACATTGGATAAACTCTACCAAACAGCTTATATAGTAGCACTCCCTATACAGAAAATAGGTAGTTTTTGAATTTATAACTTAAAAAATCAAGTTGTATTATATCAAGACATAGAATCCAAATATTTGTCTGCTAGCCATACTTAGTAAATTTTAGTATTATCAAAACCAACTTTTCGATTGCATACAAGACCCAAAAAAAAATAAAATATCCTAAAAATCCGTTTATTAATAGCTATATTGAGATGTAAATGTTAATTGCATCTAAAATAAATAAAATCAATGAGTTTATTAGAAATATTTTTTCATTATCCATTTCTGTTTTCTTTTGTTTTGTTTTTGTTTTGCTAAATTATTACTTTGAAGTTTTAATATTTTTTAAAAATTAATTCTTGGTTTGAATTAAAGTTATTAGCTTGAATCTATTTATATCTATAAATTTTACTTTTAATAGATTTGCTTGATCAGTATCAATTCATCAAAGTCTACTTCAAAAACTCAATTATAAAGTCTAAGAAAATTATAATTTCATAATTGATTATTATATGAAAATGAGATAATTTGAAAATCCAGTGTAAGCCGTGTAAGAAAAAACTGGTATTAATTTTATTCGAACTAAACAAATTTATAATTTTCATAGAATTCAATTGATTATTTTAGTAAGACAAGTTTCTTCTATCATTCTAATCTCTTTTTATAGTTTTATTATAAATAAAATTAATGAATATTAATTTATAAAATGTATTAGCATGAAAATTAATATTTCCGTTATATATTTGCTTAAATTTATTTATTTATTAACCAGACTCATTAAACAAATCAATTTGAAAATCTTCATTTAAAAAATTTATGAATAATAAAATCACTGTAACGAATTTATTATGTAACTTTACAAGATTTATTTTTCTAAAATAAAATTAGATTTATTTACTAAATAAATATGAAAATTAATAAAAAATGATTTAATAACAATAAATTGAATAATTAGAATAATAAAGATAATAAATAGAAGATGAAAAGAAATAATTAGAATACGATATTATTAATTCAAAATTAAAAAAAAGAAGAATATATTTTATTTAAAAATCAAATGATAAAAATATTATTGAAAAAAGATAAAAAACTCATTTTAAAGATGCATTTAATTTAATAAAAAATAAAGAATATAGAAATAAAGCTATTAGTACAGTATATCATATTTTATTATAAAAAAAATAAAAAATAACAAGTATTGATATTAATAAAATAACAAATGTATAATTAACTGAAATAGAATAAGATTTAATAAAAAGGGCTGATAACAAGTTAAATATTTTATAAATATTCAGAAAATATGGTGAAAATTTATGATAGAAAGAATTTGTGAAGATTTAGGGTAACTTCATATTTTATGAATTTTTTAACAATTTTTAGAAAATTTTTCAAAGTAAATAAGATGGAATTATGAAAATTATTTCGATTAAAGATTTTTGTAAAGAAAATGAAATTTTAAGAAATAAAGACAATGCAAATAAAAAAAATAAAATGAATAGATTCAAAATAAACAACACCTGATTAAAAAACAAAACAAATAAAATTTAAACTATTTTCAAATAGTTAAGCTAGACACAACATTGCTTAAGCCGAAAATAGCATACAATTTATAGAATATAATATTCTTTTATATATTTTTTAATATAACGATCTTAAAAAGTGCCAAGATTGACTAAACGAAGATAAAGTCAATTCCTATAACTAGAAAGAATTAAACGTATTTTGAATTAGCATAGTCTGGCTCTTCATTGCTTATAACAGCTAAAATAACGTAATAATAAAATAGTAATAAACATACCATAAAAAAGGTAGATAATTTTTGCCCTACTCTAATTATTTTATGAACTATTTTTATTAAGAAAACTCCAACTTCTATGATTATTGAGCTAACTATTGAAATTACTATTTTTTAAATGGCATTATAGCTTTCATCAAAAACTGTTGACAGGCAAAGAGAGTGGATTACCCTCAAGTAAATAATATTGAATCTAATTGGTCTTGAAAGAGAAGGCTCATATGTATAAATTGTATTAAAGTAGGCGTGAAATACTTTAAATTATACAAAAAGAGATAATTTTTTAAGTTGTTCTATTGTTTAAATTTCATCTTCCTTTAATTTATCATCTTAATTTACTAAATTTTTTATGCTGCTCTAATCTTAAAATGTACTTACAGTTATCTTATTTGGATTTATTAATTTGTCTTATTTTTCTTCTTAAAAAGCATTTAATTAACCTTAATTTAGCTTTTCATCTTAAATGTTTGGCTACTCTAACTCTTAAAGCTATTCTGATTTGACTTATTCCTAGAGTTAAAGTGGCTTATTATTAAGATTTTTCAATTAGTTTGGCTATTCAGTTGATATTTAATTTTCTAATTTTAAAAATTCAATTTTTTATGATTCAATTTTTTCATTTTTTAAAATTGTTAAGGTATTTAAAAATTTTTGTCTATTTCTTCGATTATTAGTATTTATTAGGTCTTGCTAATCTTAATTATTAGTTTAATATATAACTCCATTTAATTCTTAAATACTTTATAATTACAAGCTTGGTGTCTAATTCTTTCCACTATTAGGAGGATTTTCTTATTCCAATGCTATAGGCATAATCTAAGAGATAGTAGTTTTGCTAAATTTTTTATCTAGATTTCTACCATAATAATATAAACCAAATTATAACAATGTTATAGTAAAAAGAGTCCAAATAATAGCATATAAATAAAATTTCCTAAAATTGGTTATGTTATAAAATCCATCTGAGCTAAAAGCTTCTTTTACATTTTTATTTATAAGCAATGATTCTAGATCATCAGTCACAGTTGTAGGATTTGTGCTTTTACATTGGCAATAAAATTTATTATTCTTTTATGCATTGGTACATCCTTTAGAAGACCAAGCCTATGATTATTGCATTTAGAGGCAAGTCTAATTATTAGGAGAAGGTTAAAGATCTTAAAATTTAAATATGAAAATATTTTATTAATTATCATTTTAATTTTCCTTTATGTTTATTAATTTTCTCTTGCTATTTATGTTGCTCGTTTGTTCAAAGTTAGAACCTTATTGATATAATAATCTATTAGAGTTTGTGTTTACTAAGTCTAAAGAATATTTTATTACTGGATTCTAAGTAATTGTTATGCTTGAGTTTACTTATTTTAATTATTAAATATAATTCTAGAATTCTGATGTTTATTAGAAGGGATTTTGAGAGTAAGTAGTCTAACCTAAATAATAGGTATTCGATGTTTCTGAATCCTAATAATCAAATATAACTTCCTTTAAGTTTTTTTAAGTAATTTATTAGCAATCTAGTGATATTAAATTACCTTACAGCTATACTCCTCCTTAATTAGGTAGAGTTGCTTGGCTTAGGTAACTGCATATTTAGTCTGATATATTCATTTATTGAGATATCAAATAATTGGAAAGAGTTTTAGTAGTTGAATTTAATACTTTAAAAGAGTCTACTATATTTTGGAGAAAAACATTGTTGTTATTCAAAAACATATTATCCTAACTAATTAAAGATTATTAATTTTATAGAATTGTATTTAGCTAGCTTAGAATAGCGATGGTCGAAGATTCTTATTAACTAGTTATAGATTATTATAGTTGGGCAATTACTTTGTTTGCATATGTTGATAGTAAAGATGAATTAGGTAGAGAATTAACTTAGCTTATTATTAATTATATGAGCTATGATTTTCTAGTATTGATTGATTCAAGTTTATATACGGGATAGTTCTTGGATATTTCTTCTCCTATGACACACAGGTTTAAAATATTTTAGGAAATTGTTTAACTACCATCAATTTTAAAAGCTTAGTCAATAATACTGTTGATTTAAGTTTCGTTTTGAGAAAATGGTTATATGTTTACTTATAAGGTTGTATTGTAAACAGCTAAAAAGTTATCTATAGCCTAAGCCATTAATGTTAAATTTCCTGAAGGGAGGATAGTACTAAATTCGTTTTATAAGCCTTAATCCATTATTTACCTTCTTAGGATATAATTTGGAGATATCTATTCTTACTAATAATCAGTATCATTAAGGTAGTAAAAGAACTAATAAGATATTGGCGCATTAGCTGAGGTGCAACCAGACATTTTGATTTAAAAAATTGTTTAAAGAGCTTATCCACTAAGACTGTTTACAGAGAGTACACAATTATTGGGTGGTAAATTTATATTAAAGTTAGTAATGCTTAAACTAGGCATTATGTAATAAGGATTGTATGCGCTGAATCTTACTTACACAATAGCATTTGATGGAAGGATATTTACAAAATAATCCCATATTCTAAACCTAACTTTATAATAATCAAATTTTATAGCTCCTACTACTGTATTATTATAAAGTACTGCACCAGCATAGCTTAGCAAATCAGAAGAAACATTAATTCCATATATGAGAGTTGCATCAATATCTTAATTAATGTTGACTTAAATCAATTAAGATTAATCTTTAAATTTAACAATTAAAATAGGTATATCAGTTTCTGATAAGATTACCATAGTTGACTATAATTTTTAACGGGAATCTTTGTTTCCTGTAAAAGTAAATAACAGAGATTAATAAGGACTAAAAGTTGAACCTGGTATTGAAATACTAGAAACATTTTGCTGCAAAACTATAGGATGGTTATTGTAGTCATAGCACTGATTATCATTTTGATTAGAGGTAAGGGATACACAATCCCACTTTAAATTAATTTGTTAATCTTAATTTGGGTCTTCAATCTCAAAATCTCTAGCTTATCCAGTTAAATTTAAGGGTAGTTTGAAGCCAAATACTCCTTTTTATCCACCTACAATCTATATAAATAAATTAGATATATTAGGCGTAATAGTTTATGTTTTTAATTTAGAGATTGATGAATCACTGACTAGAGAGGTATTTACCTTAATTATTAATTAAAAAAAGTCATTAAATATTTAAATTTTAATAATTTATTTTACGTTTAAATCAAAAACTGTTTAACTAGGAATAGAATATTTTTCAACTAAAACTAATGTTTAATTATATTTAAATTGTGTTAGGTTTTAATTCAGCTTAGGCACACTTTTAGAGTTTATCTGTATGTTAAGAGGTTCATTAGTAATTATTGGTCCACTCTAATCACATATTTGCACATAGAAAGAGAGATAAATTCTTAAATCCATGAATCTATTTTTAAAAATTATTTTTTTATTTAATTATTCTTAGA